AAAAAAAAAAAAAAAAGCTCCTCCTCAGCAGTTCTGACATGTAGCCAAAGCTGGGAACCATTATTTTCAGAGGCGAAAACAAGCTTCTAGAGAAAGGAATATGTCCAATACAACTTTAGGTATTCTCAAAACCTGGAATCTGGAGCTGTGCTGGGTATGGAGTAAGCATTCTGGACTATTGGTGCAGCATAAGTTGAGGGGGTCAGAGTGTGAAGAACATAGGGACTTCCCACAGAAGACAACCAAGAAGATGACTCACCTCAATAGCATAGCAGAAGTCAGCACCTGCTGTTACCGCCATCATTGACAAGAGTCCTGTGCCGGTGCCAATGTCAAGAACCAAGGCTTTCTGTCCTCTGTCCTTCACCCGGCTCACAGCTGCCCGGATACCCTGGTAATATTTTATATTCTAAGAAAAAGGGAGAAATAGCTGTCACTTCATGGCACTTACAATAACTAAGAGAAAGGGGGCAGCACTGAGACTTAACCCTAGGCCACCCGGGAGGCTCCTTAAACAGATTTTTAATGAGTAAGAATGGTATCAATCCTCAAAATAGTAACTGAAATCTAAAAGAAAATAGAGTGACAAATCAGAATTCTAAAGGGAGGTGATCCTCAAACCAGAATCCAAAATCAACCTCTGAAATGTAAGGGAAGAAAAAAGAACTATTCAAAAAAGTCTCACAAACGTTATCTTCCATCACCCTCTCACAGGAAACTGGGGAGGAAAGTGCCTCACCACAGGTACTTAGGAAAACTTAGGATTCAGGAAACAGAGGTCCCCAATAAAAAAGAACGTGATGGAGATCTGTAGGACAATAAACAAGAATGCTGGGATGACAGATAATATAAGAGGTCCAGAGAGCACCCAGAATAGATAGATAACTGGTTGATCTTTCCTTCTAAAAGGAGAGATACACAGTCAGGGGAAATTTGAGCACAAAACAATGATTTCTACAAAGAAAACTAAACAAAAAATAAGCTAATTTTTATTCAAGAAAGGAAAAGTAATCAGAGTATCACATAGCTTAACTCTAAGTAGTGTTTCTACAGTCCTAGCAAACATATGATTTTAACTAACATTTCTGTAAGTATTGACCTCATGACAATTCTTTTTTTTTTTTTTTTTTTTTTAACTTATTTGTGCATACAGAACCGAGGTGCAGGCCAGAGGCGCAGGGGCGGCAAGAGGCCTCACCAGAGACAGAGTGAGGAGCAGAACAGGCAGATGGACGAGAATCGAACTCATGTAGAAGAAGCCTTAGATTCTCGGTGCTGTGCTTTAACCCACTGCGCCACCAGGGAGGGCCGTGACAATTCTTTAAAAAGAGGATATACCATCCTGTTCAAGGTGACAAATAAGGGGAGGGTATCCTTATTTTACATATGAAAAAATAGGACAAAGAGTTTAAGTGATTTGCCACAGAAAAGTAATTCTGGTCTGGCAAAGATTCATGGCACTTAAGATTCATGTCACTTCATGGCACTTACAGGAGAAAGGAAAATGAATGGAAGGAGCTGAAAGAAAGTCAGATTCTCAGTTCTCACAGAAAGGCATCAACAGATAATAGCTCTGCAGATTTGGAGGTAAACACAGGCAGCTCGAAGAGAAGAAATGAGGTTGCCACTGAAGTCGAGCATAAAATTGTTTGTCTAGTGAACATGATACACCAGGGGAAAAGTATTTTTTCATAGTGAATCTTAAAAAACTATTTGACTGATAAGTCTGTGTATTTATGTCATAGGTAAATCAATATGACATTTTATGCTGTGTGCTTTAAAATCACAGTAAGAGGTTTTTGGTTTTTTTTAATCAATATTGCAATTGTTAGAATCTGTTGAACTAAAAAACTGAACATCAATACATTATGTCCCCCAAAGCAGGGGGTGCTATCTTCTCTGGGTAGGAGTGGGCCTAGGAGCTGGTCTGGGAGACTGAGTACAGCCATGAGCTAGTGACCCGAGAATCCTCAACACTCCTTCACACTGCTGACACTCAACAGAGTAGCTATTACCTTTTATTTACTCAATGTTGGAGACATTATTGGGAAACTGGAGTCCCATAAAGGACAACTTGGATATTTCTGGCTTTTGAGATGCCGCTGAAGGGAGGATTATGGCATGCTGTCTGTTGCAAAAAGTCCACATTTTCTTAGCTCTGCTGTTGAAGCCATGATCAACTATGCTGAGAAGACAGAAGCCAAGTATCTGTATATCCACCACATGCAGGAGATCGGGGTCATGGAAGGGATTTCCTGCTTCTGGTGGGGGTGACATGGTGATTCATTCAAAAAGGCAAACCAGGGCTCAGAAAGGCACAATCAAGAAGTGGTAATTTGACAATGAAAGTCACACTGGAGAAGAGATACATGTTTACTCGGAAGAACGCTGGGGTCACAGTTAACAGCAAAGGCAAGCAAAAGGTTCTACTATCACAGGATCCAGATGTACAAAAGTGTGGAGACTTATGACTGGGGATTAAATCCAATGCCGGTATTTTCAATGTAGCTGTAAAAAATAATTAAAAAAAAAAAAAAAACTATTTGTATCTACCTCCTCTTCCCCATTCCTGCCCCCAAAAAGGCAATCTGTGGGAAGGAGGCCAGATAATCAAATAAATAGAGTCAACTATAAGGTGACTAATAATAGAATTAGACTTAATAGTGAAAAAATACAGTATATACATAGTGTAGTGGTGATTTGTAATGATGCATACTGTAATGGCAATTCAGCAGTATCTGTCAAAAGTCACATCTATATTCATTACCCTAGACTATACCAAAAATGATATCCCAATGGCAAATAAACATGTCTGATGTCATTAGTCATTATAAAAAGGGATATTAAAACTACAGTGAGATATCACTCTATACTCACATTCAAACAAAATGGCTAAAATCAAACATTGACAATACCAGATGTTGCCAAGGATGTAAAAAAACTGGAACCTTCACATATCAGTAGCAGGAAATTAAAATATTATGTTCATTTCGGAAAAGAGTTTGTAGTTTCTTCAAAAGTTATATATTTAACATAAATGTGCACTTACCCAACAATCCTACTTTTATATATCTACTAAAAGGAAAAAAAACCTGTCCACAGAGACTTTGACATGACTGTTTACAGCAGGACTATTCAAAATAGCCCCCACACTGGAAACAGTTCAATGTCCATCAACTGGAAAATGCATAAATAAAATACAGCACATCCATTAATGGAATCTAACCAGGTACTAAAAAGGAATACTGATGTATACCCAACTTGAGTGAACCTCAAAAACATGAACAAAGCTAAACAGACACATAAGACCCTTACTTATAGTCCCATAATCATATTCCAAATATTACATGGTCTTAGGAAATACATGAAATTTCTAGAAAAGACCAAACTATAGAAAAAGCAGACTGGTAAAAGGATGTCTAGGGTTGGGTTTTGGCAATGGTTCTAAAACAACAACTAGGGAGCCTCTCTGGTGGCGCAAAGGGTTAAGTCTCAGCACCATGACGCTATCAGCAGCCACTGCAGCATGAGTTCAATCCCCAGCCAGGGAGCTGACCCCCATCACATAGCAGCCCTCTCTGGTCTCACCTGCTGCTCCCCTGAGCAGCGTATTTCAGTAGATCCACCTATTCTGCTCTCCACTGACTCTGGTGAATCCTCTCACTCCCACCCTCACCCCCAGCCTACACCCTGTTCTTGTATGCATAAATAAATCTTAAGATAATTAAAATAAAACAACAGCTAAATGTACAGCACCATGCAAAAGCATGGAGAAATGTGTTTATGCTGCTTCTACCCTTAACCAGTAAGTTCTGACTCCCATTTTCTCATGTGTAGAATTAGGGAAGGGGAAGCAAATAATGCAGGGTCAGGAATGTTCTGTCAGAGTTTGGATATTTTTGTGAGACCACAAAGGGTTTTAAACAGAAGAATAACATGCCAGGCTGGCATTCAGAAGGATCCCTTGGGCTATTATGCAAGAGGAAGGAAAGGCAGGACCAACAACACATGAGAGCTAGCAGGCAGTGGGTTGAAGAACCAATCAAATTTAAGGATAGAATGCCTGTTCAGAAATGGAAAAGGACATCACTTTCTGGCTTGGCTCACTGGATGGATGGCAATGCCATCTGTCCAACCCCCCTGGAAGCTTGGGCAAAAAGCACCCTCTTTGCAGATGACACTAAAATTGGCCTTTCCAGGTTTAGTGATTAGAGTCCAGTAAGATGATAAGACCCTTAAATTAGAGGACTAATCAACAACCAAGGACAATGTTTATTCTGTAATTCCCCAACAGTTCATCAAAGGCACTAGGGAGGCTCCGGCCCCCTCTTTGTGGCCTGCACACGACAGCTGTTTAAGGAGATCATTCTGTCATGGTGTTTCCAAGAAGCAGACAGGTTGAACTACTAATCTGTGTGGGGTGACGGGGATACCACCACACCTAAACTAAGCCTACCATTTGCCCTGAGCCCGCTTCTACCTTGCTATTTCATGTCTGTTGCTGCATCATTTAAGCTTCCCAGCTTCTGAGCCACCCAGATGAGGCCAACTGGTCAAGCACTCAGATAGAAAGGGAAATTCTGGGTTGCTGTCATAAGATCAGAGCAGCGGGTTAAAGCACAGCACTAAGAAGCTAAAGCCACTTCAGCATGAGTTTGATCCCTGCCCTGAAAGGTGACCCACATGGCGCGGCAGACCTCTCCTCTCTCCCTGCTGCTCCCCTCAGCAGTGTACTTTGTTAGTCTGCCTGTTCTGCTCCCCACTCTGTCTCTGGTGAATCCTCTCACTGCCCCTGCACCTCTGGTCTGTACCCCAGCATAAATAATCTTTTAAAAAGAAAGAAAGAAAATTTGGGTGAAAGAGAAAAAGCTGAAATGGAATTTTGCAATGCAAATAAAATGTGTTTCACAAAATACAGTGTGCACTGACCTCTAGAGATTTTATTTTAGAACTGCAAGCAATTTTAGTTTTTAAAGATTTGTTTATGTATGTAGAACTGGGGTATAGGCCAGAGGTGCAGGAGGGTGAGAGGATTCACCAGAGACAGAGTGGGGAGCAGAACAGGCAGATCTATTGAAATACACTGCTGAGGGGAGCAGCCAACAGGTCAGGAGAGGTCTGCCATGCCATGTGGGTCACCTCTCTGGCCGGGGATTGGAACTTGTGTGCAGTGGCCATGAGAGCTTCATAATACTGCTCTTTAACCCACTATGCCACCAGGGTGGACCCAGAATTGTAAGTAACTTTATACGAGGCAAGTTACCATGTAATTAAAGAATTTTATATTGAGGTCATGCAGATTAGCTTGCATATTCCATTCACTTTAAATTTTACTAAATGACTTCTCCAGAGGGCTCATGTTTTGAGGAAGGCCATATTTAGGTCAACAGCAGAGTAGGAAGTAGGTAGGTCCCAGCCTCCCTTGACTGATTTCCTGACCAGTGCACCACACTTCCTCTCCATATCATTCTAACATGTCCAGGGGGAATTTTTAACCTTATAATGCAAGGTTTTACGACATCCACTAAGATAATGGCTTCCTTTCATACTTACTCTGTCTTTGTCATGCAGCATATCAGCATAGGATGACCTAGAAACACAAAAACACAAGTCAGACAACCCTCTGAAAAACTAATATACAGCTAAAAAATAACACACCACAGGGGAGTAGTTAAATATATAAATGCGGCCCTCCCTGGTGGCGCAGCGGGTTAAAGCACTGCACTAAGCTTAAGCCGCTTCCGCATGAGTTCGATTCCGCCTGCCCCGGAGGTGACCACATGGTGTGGCAGACCTCTCCTGACCGGCCCGCTGCTCCCCTCAGCAGTGTACTTCGTAGACCTGCCTGTTCTGCTCCCCACTCTGTCTCTAGTGAAGCCTCTCACCCTCCGCATCTCTGACCTGTACCCAGTTCTGTATGAATAAATAAATAAATCTTTAAAAATATACGTGTATATATATATATAAATGCAATCCTAAGTCAGATGAGACAAACATCCAGGCCCACTTTAAACTATTCTAACAGAGTTACTTATTGTCACACCTTCTTCCTGAAATGTTCTCCTCTCCACACTCTGGACATTCCTTCTACAACCTCAGCTCTTCTAGAATCCCTTCCCTTTTGCCTTTCTGATATCACACCTTCTTTGAGAACAATTTTGCAGTTTTAACTCTCAATTAACAACTGAAAATTGTCTATATGGATGTTCAAATCCAGACACCTAATCTCCATCATCTGCCCCTCTCTAAACACACCCATTCTACATATAAAATATATTGAGGTATATTTTAATATACTGAGGTTCACAGAAGTTAAGTAGGTTGGCTGATATCCCAGAATTAGGAAGTAAGAGTCTGGACAGTCACTCCCTAACCCAGATGGTTCTTGTTGCTTCCATGCACTTGTGTTCATTTCAACTTGTAGTTTTTTACGTGCTTGTACCTCCCACAAAACTGCATGTTCCTTGAGGATGGACACCCTATCTTCTCCATTTTAGAATTCATAGCCGTTGTACAGTACACCGTATAGACTTAATGACTGCCAAATGAGAGTAACTCCCATATTACTAGATACCCTCCCCAGAGGAAAAACAAGTGTTTTCCTCTTTTCCACTTTAGAGAACTTAACCATGATGAATGTGTCACCACATCAATGACATCGTATGTAATTTCACCATCACTACTACCACCACTGCCATGCTGCTACTCTACTGGATCCTGGACTCCCTTTCTCCACTATAGCAGCCCTGAGACACAATATCTGATTCTCCACACAGGTGTGCCTTTGCCTGATTTCCACACATATCCACCTGGCTCAGCAGACCTGCTTCTGACCCACACCTGGCCTTGACCAGATGCACTAGGGCCAGCCGGGTCCACACTCAGACTGGACTCCAAGGCATCTGCTTTGTGATCAAGTGCCACCAACAGTGAACAAACCCTCATTACCTTGCAATCTCCTGGTGGTAATCATAGTGTTCATCCTCCTCCAGCCACTCCACAGATCCTGTGGTGGGATTGGCCCGCCCACAGAAGACCTTCATGATGCCAGTCAGTGCTCAGTTTGTATAGAAAAGCAGTCGTGGCCGATCACTTCTTGTGGACAGATCTGATCACCAATAATCTATTCACAACACTGTGCCAAAAAAAAATAAGTACTCAACAAATAAATCAAGGAATTCAAATGTTACTCACTGAAAATAACTGTTAATCATACTTTAATCTTTTCAGCAAGAGTTATTTGGTTTTATAATCTACTCATAACAGCAAGAACTAAAATACAACAAGCAAGACAAAAACTCTAAGTTAAAAAAGAACAAATTGTTGATTACCAGAGGGAAAGGGTTAGAAGTGGAGAAAATGGGTAAAAGGGGTCAATTACATGTTGGTCGGTGGAAACTAGACTTTTGGGGTGCTCCTAATGTAGTAGCTACATATGTTCAATCACAACTATACACCTGAAACTGTAATGATACTTTAGGGCCCTCCCTGGTGGCACAAGGGGTTAAAGCTTAGCATTTATGAAGCTCTCCACAGCTACTGCAGCATGAGTTTGATACCCAGCCAGGGAGCTGACCCATGTGGTACAGCAAACCTCTCCTGTGTCCCCTTAGTATTTCAGTAGACCTGCTTGTTCTGTTCCTCACTCTTTCGCTGGTGAGTCCTCTTAACACCTGCACCTCTGGCCTACACCCCATTCCTTGTATGCATAAATAAATCTTTTAAAAAAGAAGATACTTCAATGACAATTATTTTAAATCCTCCTAATAAATAAATTCATATAGCTCTCAGAAATTCAGCAGTTCTGGGGCCCTCCCTAGTGGTGCAACAAATTAGGGCGCAACACTGGAAGCTAGGCGCAGCCGCTTTAGTGCATGTTCAATCCCAGTCCCCAGAGGTGACCCACATGGCGCAGCAGACCTCTCCTGTTTTGTCCCCTGCTCCCCTCAGCAGTGTACTTTGTCAATCTGCCTGCTCTGCTCCCCACTCTGTCTCTGGTGAATCCTCTCACCACCCCTGCACCTCTGGCCTATACCCCAGTTCTGTATGTATAAATGAATAAATCTTTTAAATTGACACACAGCAGGATGTGAGCATTTCTCTGAGGGAAGAGAAAAAGAGATCAAGGTTCACACAGGAGTCTTCAAAAGTAATAGCACTGTTCATTACCCAAAACTTAAGTGTTCCACATTCCACTTCTTGTAGAACATTGGTCCATCTCCAAGAATCCTTAGAAAGACTACTTTACAGGTCTTAAACATTCCTAAGGTGTTTTACTGACCAGAGTGACCAAACTTCTTTTGAAAATTTCTAAACTACGCAAACATTAAATTGTTACACAAGAGGATGGGAAACAATCTTTTCTGAAAAGAGCACAGGCAGTCACTGCACTGGTTCAAAGCAGGCGATTTGTCCTTCAGCATATATGTCCTCGATCTAATGAGTCTCAAACTTTCTGACAATCCCTGTAATGTATTTTACATTGAGACACAACACACACAATGTAAAGTAGCCAGCTATATTGTCTTCTATCATAATATATGATATATTCTATTTCATTTTTCTTTTCATTGCTGTGCTACCCTCCCTGGTGACACAACAGGTTAAAGCACAGCACTATGAAGCTGTCCACAGCCACTGCAACATGAATTTGATTCCTGGCCAGGGAGGTGACCCACATGGAGCAGCAGACCTCTTCTGTCTCACCTGCTGCTCCCCTCAACAGTGTATTTCAGTAGATCTGCCTGTACTGCTCCCCACTCTGGTGAATCCTCTCACCTCCCACACCTCTGGCCTGTACCCCAATTCTTGTCAAATAAATAAGCTTAAAAAAAAAAACTGCTGTCCAATAACAATTCAAAAGACACTACAGACAGAACCAGCAGGATCTATAATGTGCTTTAGAAGAGTGACAAACGTTGTAGTTGGAAAAAATGAGCACATCTTGCTGAACATTCAGGGAAGCTTAAAGTTTAAATGGTCATGGGGAGAGAGGGCACTCTCCAGCTCAGAAAGGCAGAAAACCAAAATCATGCACAGTAAGTAAGACTTGCTGAAGTGAAACTGAGTAAGGTGCCAAACATGCTGGGACTCATACTGGGGAATCCTGAAACCCTGGGTATGGTTCATGTGGAATCAATTCTGATGAAGCCAGGGGTTAAGAGTGTAGTAAAGAACTTTAGTCTATAAAATTTCCTTTTGATCGTGATTTTTTTTAAGTCATAACTACAATGTCCCTGCACAACTGCAGCCCACTAATTTCATATAAGTCTAATTGAATACATAAGGATAGGAACCATGTCCTGTTGTCTTTTTGAGTACTACACACCTTTCCTGGGAAGTCCTCTCATCTAATGACTTGTCCTCACAGAAGCCCACACTTCAAATTCAGGAGCTGTTCTCTGACCCCTTCTTCATTCTCCAAAAGCTGTGCACTCATATGGCCATTTACAGGAAGGGAATGGAATCACTCCATCAAATCCTAATTTCACCGTTAGTCAGATTTCAGAACAAATGTTTGGCTCATTCATTCAAAATTTACCAAAGTATTTCCTTTTTTTTTTTTTAAATATTTATGTATTTATGCATACAAGAACTAGAGTACAGGCCAGAGGTGTGGGAGGTGAGAGGATTCACCAGAGACAGGATGGGGAGCAGAACAAGCAGACTGACTGAAAAACACTGCTGAGGGGAGCGGCAGGAGAGACAGGAGAGGTCTGCTGTGCCATGTGGGTCAGCTCCCTGGCTGGGGATCTATTCGTGCTGCAGTGATTACAGGTAGCTTCATAGTCCTGGGCTTTCACCCTTTAATCCCTAGTGCCACCAGGGAGGGCCCCCACGTGTTTCCTATATGCCAGATATTGAACTGGAAAACTACCAAAAACAAGATCGAGGTCCGTTACCTCCAAAAATTTATAGCCCCTAATTGGGAAGAGTGAATTTAAATGCAACACGTGAGTACTAAAATAGAAAATACGCATCACGCAATGAGGAAGAGAATAACAGAGTTGTGAAAACACTGAAGAATTTGAGGGGCGCCCAATAAACCAGGTCAAAAATTGGGAAGCATGGTGCTTTATTTCAGGAATCTTTAGCCCAACTTTTCCAAGATCCTTAGGTGGAAAAAAAAGAAATACATAAGCAAAAAGGACAAAAGCCGAAAGTGACGGAAGAGCGCAGAGCAGAAGAAATTAAAGATGAGGAGTGGGCTTCTGAAATGACAACGGGCCACGCCGGCTTCGGAGAGATGTTTGCATTTCGTTCTAAACACACGGCGCGCAGCAGCCGGCTTTCGGAACACCTGCGGCCGAAGCACCCCTTTACAGGGCCGCTGTGGCGAGTGTGTGAAGACGATTCTCCAAATACTCAGAACAGTGCCTGGGAAAGGGGAGCCCGCCAGCGGTACCCTGACTCAGAGGGCGGTGGCCCAGTCAGCGGTGTGAATGCTGAATGAATGTACGGGACACCGACAGGTTCGGGTGTCTGTCACTGGGGAGAGGTGCCACATACCGTGATCCAAACATGTGGTCCGCCACGAGAGCAGCAGCAACCCACAATCATCTGACTGGACGGGAGAGAAGGGGCCGTTCCGGAACCCCGCTGTCCCCGCCCGCAGCTCAGCCGCCCCACGCGGACTCTTAAGATTCTCAGGAGTGCCAGCGACGCGTACCCCAACACCCGCGCACACCCACCCCAGCCCCTCCGCCGCGACTCTCAAGCTGAGGGCAGGCGACTGGCAGCACCTCAGGCTCCTTCCCAGGTCCCACCTTCCCAGCCCGCCTAGTTTCTCACCCGCCTCGGGATCTGCTCCATTCACTTCCGCCGCCGCCGCCATCTTGCCGCGGCTGGCGCGTGGAGCGACACTACTCGGTAGCCGTGAGCGTGCCGGGGGCGGGACCGGAAGCGGAATTTGAAGGCCCCTCATCGCAGCCCGAGCGTTCCCATAATGCTCCGTGACAGCCGCTATGGAGGCCGGCAGGACGGCTGTGCTCCGTGTGAAGCGGAAGCGCAGCGCGGAGCCCGCCGAGGCCCTAGTCCTTGCTTGTAAACGCCTCCGGGACAGTGCAGACGAGTCGACCGCCCAGACGTCCCTCGAGGGTCTAGAGAAAGCGGCGGAGAATAATGTCTTCCAGTTGGTGGCCACCGTGCGCTCCCAGGTATTGGGGAAATAGAGGACAAAGGAGCAAAACTGTATCCCTGACCCCTTCACGAATCCCAGCTTAAGTTGCCCCCCTTTCTCACCATCCCCCAGGAGGAACCAGTCCAACCGCTCTTGCGGGAAGCCCTGCGCCCTTCCCAAGGCAGCCAGCAGCGTATCCGCCGTGACCTCCGTGCATCGGCTCGGGAGACCCGGCAGGAGGGCCGCTACAGGGTGGTCTCCAGCCGCAGATCTTTGGGGATTCCCTCAAATGGCCCGGTGTCCGAGGGCGCACCTGAAAATCCAGGCGCTACCGAGGATGCCGGATTCCAGCTGTTCGACCTGGTCCACGAAGAAGGAGACACAGAGGCTGCCTCAGCAAGGTCATACAAAGTGAGTATACTCTACGAGGCAAGCGTTGGGCTTTTCGTAATTAATATATATCTAGACTCCGCGCTGAATCAAGACAGTTAAAAAAGAGGATGCACACGGCTTCACTTTAGAGATAAGTGATCCTAGGGCATCGAGCGAGTTTAGCCTTGTTTTAGCGCATCGTTCAACAGTATTGACTAAGGACCCACTATGTGTCAGGCTTTGTTCTTACGTTTGTTGAAACAGTGAGGACCTAACACTCAGAAGAGAAACGGTAAACAAAATTCAATGTCAAATGATGATATGGGCCGTAAAAGAGAAAACAGGAGAAGAAAGGTCCCCATATCATGAGGATCTCACTAAGAAAATAACAACTGAACAAAGACATGAAGGAGGTAAACGGCAGAGCACTATGGATATCTTGGTGAAACCGTTTGCTGGAGCTCAATGATAAACGAGAAAAGTTTAGGTGGCTCTTGTTTGTTCTTACTGTCAATCACCTAGCCCCTTATCCACTACAATCACTGGAAGGTTTTCAACAAGGTAAAGATAGAGCAGATGGGAAAATGTTTCAAAGGGAGGTGAAAAGGTTATTCCTAGGTAGCATATAAATTTGAGGTCTAGAATGCAGGTCTTAAATACCTTTAATCCAGTCAGTGTTCTTTCCACTACATTACATTCTTAATTTAGTTTTGTGATTCACTGCCAAAAAGCAAAGTCTTCTTTGTGCATAAGACCAAAGAGATAGAAAATTCTTGTCCTAAGTTATGTCTGCTCTTAATAAACTTTTTTTTTTTTTAATTTATTTATTTAGGGCCCTCCGTGGTGGCCAAAGGGGGTTTAAAAACAACACATTATGAAGTTCTCCAAAATCATGCAGCATGAGTTCAATCCCTGCCCTGGAGGTGAGCCACATGGCTGGCAGACCTCTCCTGGCCCGCCCGCTGCTCCCCTCAGCAGTGTACTTCATCAGTCTGCCTGTTCTGCTCCCCGCTCTGTCTCTGGTAAACCGTCTCACTTACCACACCTCAAAAGATGTATTTATTTATGCGTACAGAACTAGGGTACAGGCCATAGGTATAGGGGCGGTGAGAGGATTCACCAGAGACAGTGGGGAGCAGAAAAGGCAGACTGACTAAGTACATTGCTGAGGGGAGCAGCAGACAGGACCCGACAGGTCTACCTGGTCATGTGGATCACCTCCAGGGCAGGGATGGAACTCATGCGAAAATGGCTTCTGATAGCTTTATACTGCTATACTTTAACCCGTTGTGCCATCAGGAAGGACCTAATAATTTTTTTTTTTTAAGATTTATTTATTTATTCATACAGAACTGGGGTACAGGCCAGAGGCTCAGGGGCGGTGAGAGGCTTCACCAGAGACAGAGTGGGGAGCAGAACAGGCAGATCGATGAAGTACACTGCTGAGGGGAGCAGCGGGCGGGTCAGGAGAGGTCTGGCTCGCCATGTGGTTTCCTCCGGGGCAGGCAGCAGGTGGGAATCGAACTCATACGGAAGTGGCTTCAGATTCTCAGTGCTGCGCTTTAACCCGCTGCGCCACCAGGGAGGGCCAATAATTTTTTTTTTTAACTTTAAACTCCTTTCAATAGTTTTTGAAGTTTAAAGTATTTGGATGAAGATATATTTTCATATAGAATATATCAAGTAAAAAATGTTTAATCATGGTCTGGTCTTCCTGGAAAGCAGTTTGGGTGGAGTATACACTGCCACATTTTTTACGAAAACTTACTGCACACTCATTCTTAAATTACAGTTTTTTAAAAGTAAATCAATGTTCATTGAAATCACATCAATTTAAAAATTCATTAAATTCTATCTATAAGAAAAACTAGCAGATAAACTGGTAAAGGGTATAAACACATTTTCTCAATAATACAACAGCCTCTGGCAGTGAACCTGTCAAGACGGGTTACTTGCAGCTCATTTCCAGTTGGTCTGTGTTAGCCTCCATAACAGAGCCTGCTGGGATAAAGCACACCCTCCCCTCAGCCAGTTTTATCTAGGGCAATTCACCTCAAACTATTCTCTCACAAAAGGGGAGTCCACTACTGGTTTGTGATTAAAAGCACAATGTTGGTGTGGGCCCATCAAGTGATGGGTAATGGTTAGTAGTAGTCACCAGAGATCAAGAATCACATTTATGCTGCTGTAGGCGGCCACACAAACTGCAAGCCCACTAGGTTTCAGCCTTAGAAGTGCTACTGTGGGCCTGTGGGTAGCAGGAGGAGAACATCGTGCCAGAGAGCTCAAAAAAGACCAATGGCAGTAGAATCTGCTTCTGGCTCTGCTGGCCTGGCTCTCACCTTAGGCAGTCTCCCATGTGATCTCATGTCAGCCAAGCATAAAGGGCAGGAGGTTAGCTTATGTGATTTCAAATTGCAAAAGAACTACACATTAATTTTATATAGAAATTCTTGATGTTTTTGATTTCATGGGCTAAGCATAAGATAAGTAGGTCATGGTCCTTACAATCTTGAATTCAACATAGAACTGAGGGAGGCTTCCTTCACCTAACTCTTGCATCCCTCCTCCTGGAACACTCTTACATCTGTCCTCTTACATCTGTCCTCTTGGAACGTCCTGCATGTATCTTCTGCTGTTTCCTTCACAGGCCTCTGACCCAGATGTGATCCTCTGCAATTCTGTAGAGTTGATCCGTGAGCGGCTGACTATATCTGAGGATGGGCCAAGGGTTGGACAGCAGGAGGAACAGAAGGACGACTATGTATATGACATTTACTACTTGGAGATGGCCACTCCAGGATGGATTGAGAACATCCTTTCTGTGCAGCCCTACAGCCAGGAGTGGGAGCTGGTAAGAGGCCATGAGAATAGGGGCAGCTTAGCCTGCCTCATACTGATTTTCTAGTCAGAGTGCTTTGCTTCTTGAGTTCCCCTACTGATCAGTGTCATTCTTGGTTGATCTTGTTCTTGCTCAAAGGAAACTTTTTTTTTTTCTTTAACTTCCTTGTAGGGTCCTAGTAAAAGGATTTTGAGAAAGATCATTTAAATTTATGTTTTGTTCTTAATCTTTTACAAGGTTTGCAACACCTTTATTGTTTATAAAGTACCCACTCTAACATGAATGAGAACAAAGGCTTTTTAAAAATTGCAACCTCAAAGTGTAGGTAGAAAGTTCTATATTTAGGAAGCTAACATCCTGACAGTCATTAAAACAAATTCTAAAATGAGAAATGAGAAAATTAAAGGTGGGTGATGGAAGGCCATCAGGGATTGTACATGAGGGGAGAGACAAGTGGTCAAGAATGAAAGCAGTGTAGGAAAATGGGAAAAAAGTCTTTTTTGAAAACATAAAAAAGTTAAGGTGCTACTTACCATGCTCTCACGCTGAGAAAAGCACATTACCCCACCATTATATCCAGAGTTTCCCTGCCTTGGACCAATGCATGGCCCCTACTTCTGCTTTCCGGCACCTGTCACACTTAGGATTGGGTTGTGACCTTTGGGGTCATCCATAACCCATGTACTCCTCACGGTGACGGCCCTTTGAAGAGTTTGAAGGCCTCTGCATCACCTGCTCAGAACACTGGCCTTCCCACCCAGGTATATTCTTTCTGGTGCAGTGTGTTCTACCCCACCAGTAGTGTGGTGCCTGGAGCCAGACTTTTAAGCAGAGAAGGCACTAACTCTCTCTCTTGTAAACTGAGTCCCTACATCCTCTTATGTGGCAATGTCAGACTAAACCCTAGGCTGTTTCTTTTTCAGCTGGCATCCTTAAATGACATCTCTCTCAGTTGGGTGATAATGGCTTCCCTTGTAGCCTTACTCTAGAGGTTTAGACTTATATTTGTGTTGAGATATGCAGGTGAATGATGACCAACAACCAGAGGATATTTATGAAGATGAAGATGATGAGAACAGTGAGAATAACTGGCGCAATGAGTACCCAGAAGAAGAAGAGGACAGTGACGGAGATAAAGATTCCAGGGGTAGGTGGCTTGCAGCCCTGGTGGAAAGGGATCTGAGGCTGAGGTAGAGCGTGGCTGATAGATACGTCTTAAGTGGCCTTCCTTCTCTGCCATGGAGCTCCAGGAGCTCGCCCACTGTCCAGAGCTGTGGGGGACCCACGGACTATTATTTCCAGGGGCACTGCTGGGCTCCCATAGGTCCAAAATCCTTACTTACTGTATTGCCTATCTTGGGTTTTGAGTATTATTATTCCATACTGAGCCAACTTCAGTGGAACATCTAACTCAGTGTCCCTCTCCCTGTGTCAATCAAGAATACAGTGGGGCCTCCCTGGTGGCGTAGGGGTTAATTTTAGCACTGTCAAGCTGTTGCCAGCCACTGCAACATGAGTTCAATCCTCAGCCAGGGAGGTGGCCCACATGGCACAGCAGACCTTTCCTGTCTCACCCACTGCTCCCCTCAGCATGCATTTCAGTAGATCTGCTTCCCACTCTGCCTCTAGTGAATCCTCTCACCATCTTTGACCAACACTCCAGTTCTTGTATGCATAAGTAATATAAATCTTTCAAAAAAAATTTTTTTAAAGAATACATTGGTGAAATTCACCCGTAAGCGTAGGCCAAGGCTTTCACACATCCATTATCTAATCGCTCAAGAAATTGCTATGGCCCTCCCTGGTGGTGCAGTGGGTTAAAGCTCAGCTCTGAAAACTGGCAGCAGCCGCTTCAGTGCAAATTTGATCCCCTGCCCTGGAGGTGATCCACATGGCGCAGCAGACCTCTCCTGTTTCACCTACTGCTCCCCTCAGCACTATACTTCATCAGTCTGCCTGTTCTGCTCCCCCACTCTGTCTCTGGTGAATCCTCTCGCCACCCCTACACCTCTGACTTGTACCCCAGTTCTGTATGCATAAATTTTTTTAAGTCTTTAAAAAAAAAAAAGTTGCTATATTCAATATTGTTTTTTTAGAAAGAGACAACTCAAACATGGTACCTGTTGGGGAGAGCAAGGAAGGATGCTCTGGCTGTTGGCTCAGTGCCAAAAAAAAGTACATTCTAGGGGTCTATTAATAGAGAAACAAAGTATTTATGCATATAAAACTGGGATATGGGCCAGAGGCATGGGGGGGGGGGTTGAGAAGATTCACCAGAAACAGAGTCGGGAGCAGAACAGTGGATCTACTGAAATACACTGCTGAGGGGAGCAGCGGGTGAGACACAAGAGGTCTGCTGTGCCATGTGGGTTAGCTTCCTGGCCAGGGATTGAACTTGTGCTGCGGGGCCTGGTGATGGCTTGATAGTGCTTAGACTTAAACCCTGCACTACCAAGGAGGCCCAGATTATGGGATATTCTGTTGGGGAAGTGCTTATAATATGTTAAAAGGAAAGGAGCAATGTACAAAATTCTATTTGCAATATAAGTGCAAACAAAACAAAAGTCCTATGTTAGGGGAGAAATGACAAAATCCAATTTTAAAGGAAGGACCCAGTTTGTATGGTAGAAATTCAACCATTTTTTCTTAAATTAGTCTATGAATTCTCTTTGTTAAGCAAGTTATTTTATAATGGAAAAGAAAAACAGATTCTTTTGAGAAAGGCAGGGAGCTGTTGACTACAAAATCAATCACATGGTTTTAGAACCCGTGCCTGTCATCTCATTCTAGGTTCTGATGAATACAACAGCCTTAGTGAAGAAGAAGGAGGCCATCGCAGACCACAGCTGTGGAGCAAATATCCTGTGAACGTGCAGAAGGAGTTTGGCTATGACAGCTCTCACGACCTAGATTCAGACTGATGGTCCTGTGACAGCCGTGAGGTTCTACCATGCCCTGAGGGCTCTTGGACTGCAGCATCTGCAACCTTGGCAGTTTCCTTCGATTTCCTCGCTTAACAGGGGAGGAGAAAGCATATCAAACAGCACTGCCCCACTATAGTGAAAGCTAAGGGAGTGTCTTTGCACTGAGTAGAGCCATTCTGCCTCACTTAAAAGTGATCCTATGGCCCTACAATGGCAACTTAGGGGGGAAGCATGAATACGAAGCTTCCAGAGGATTTTTCCAGCTTTCCCATACCACCACATCGCCCGCCTCCAGTAAAAGCCTGTCCCCTTTGTTGGAAGAGACTTAGGAGAGTGCCATTGGATCCCTTGTAGCACCACAGTACAGACTGGACAATAATGGCCATTAGGAAAGGACAAAGAATCTGCCTGAGCTGTGGAGGCTTCAAATGTTTATTTGCAGCATTTGCCAAAAACAGCTTTGCAGCAGCCACTAGTCATATGTGGCTGTTGAGCACTTAAATGTGATCCGTCTGCGTCTGCCTCCCTGCTTCTGGGCTCTGGTGATGGCTGTGAAGATTTCTGTCTTCCTTTTGCAGTGCTGCCAGGGGACAGAGTGTATGAATGTAGTAACTGTTCAGTAAAAACTAACTTTGAACGCGGGAGCAAGTAATTCCTCCAAAGCCTTTTAAATCTGAATATCTTAGGTATTTTCCCATGGTGCTTTTTCTTTTCCCCCCTTTCCTCCACTGCCCCACCAAATAAAGAGGTGGGGAAGTAAGCTAGACCTTTCAGACACTAAGGACTTCAGGCAAATAAGAAAAAGGAAAATGTATCATGAGCTTGGCTTTTCATGGAGAAATGTTTATTTGCAGCATTTGCCAAAAACAGCTTTGCAGCAGCCACTAGTCATATGTGGCTGTTGAGCACTTAAATGTGATCCGTACAACTGAGGGACCGAACATCACTTTACTAGTGCATGCGGCTGGCAGCAACTGCACTAGACAGAGCCATGCGAGGCAAACAGTACGAAAACCTCTGATGTCAGGTGTGCCCTCTTGCCCTGTGACACACTGTCGCGTGGGAAGGTGAATTACACAGGGAGATGAGGTGTCTTCCCGCCTCCAGTAAGACGACAAAGCATCTCTACTTCTCGATCCACCCACTTCTCTTCATAGTTTATTTTGTACATCTTTAAAGTACACTCGTTCCTGTCTACACAAAGTTAACTAAACCTGCCAGAAGTGATTAAGTTCTGCCTGTACATGTGCTCAGACCTTCCTGTTGCAGCTGTAAGACCAGCAGGCTTTTGGTTTCCCATCTGAGCTATCCACAAAGGTACAATTCAGTGCTAAAAGTAACAGGCAGACTTACATGTCTAATCTAGTCATCTTAGTCCTGTAGGCATAGAAACAGGATTACAAAATACTCCATTACAAAACACGCCATTATAATGTGTTCACTGCTGTTTATGGACTCACTGAGGTCTGCCAACACTAAAGGGCTTGACATCTTCACAAACCCCCTATGCAAAAGAGGTTAGCGCTCTGGAAGGGTTGAAGGAAACAACAAATATCTAGTGAGATTAATTTTTGTGGTGAAGCTTGAGTGCTGTACAAAGTCTCTGGCATCCCCACAGAAGGGTTCATGGGAGGAGTCTATGCAGCATAGACGCAAAGGATGCTGTCACCAACCAGTGGAAGACGACTTGGCTCACAAAGCAAGTATGAGGCTACCCCAGGTGTGAGGCCCTTGCTCCCCAAGAGTCTCTGGGGCAGCAATTCCTGGGGCTAGCTGGTCATTTACTTCAGTGAAAAAGCTAAAGCCTGAGTCAGGGATCCTGAAGACATGGGTACTCTTAAAGGACTGGCTCCAGAGGCCCCCTGGGGTAGCTGCCAGCTAGGCTCAGCCAGGAGTCATGTTTATGTAGTCCAGGCAAGTAAGCCTCTGCACAAGACTCCCTGTTTTGTTGTCAGGCAGGAATTTCCTGTTTCAGTCAATGTCCTACCGTGTCCTCACAGACATTCCCTGACCCAAAGGCAGCTTTGATCACGCTCCCTTGAAATGTCTGCCCGGATGATGATCAGTGGCATCACATTTGTACGATCCAGATGTTCTCTCTGCAAAGCGACCTGCATTAGGCGGGCCCTGCCACTCTGGCCTGCTGGAGCATGAGAATGTAGCCTTCCAGTCATGTCGTATGTTGAGGAGCAAGCTTGAGGTTGAAGCAACTTTTTTCCCGGAATCCACTGATCTCCGCAAGGAGAAAACAAGTGCCCACAAATACCAAGCTCATCTGGCCACTGTAGCCTAGGGACCTCGGGGTAAGTGGGGGCAGACAGGGCAGGTGTGTACTACCCCTGATGCACACAGAGGCCACTGGAGTGTAAACAAAGCCTGGTGGCAGGCACAGGTAGAGGACCAGCCTTACATGAGGTTTTCAGGAAAAGAAAAGGACCACTTCTAGCACCGAGGTGAGCTTGTTTGGGTCTGCACAGCAGTCCCCACTAGCCCTCACAGTGGAGCAAGCTAAGTGATGGTCTGGGTCCGTGAGCCAATGACAGCTAAAAGAATTCAGGTGATACTGCTGAATTCTAGAATAATTTCTGCCCTCTTAAAGTCCTCACCAGAAACCCAGAGATTTATGTTCTATCAACTAGAACAAAAAGCTATGTAAAATAGAAGATAATCCTTCAGGGCGGTATTGCAGATTTCTGATTCATGAGTTTATGCATTTGCCCTTGCTACACTTGACCAAGGTGCTTACAATCATGATCTACCCATATACTAAGGTGTGGACATGAGTAAAAAAATCTTTGAAAGTTCACTTTGCAGGTAAGGTTCAACAGAACATTGTGCTAAAGCTGAGCAAAAAAAAATCTGGTCAGAGTCTTACTCACCGCCACAAAGAGGACCCTCTAAGGCCAGAGTGGCTTGGCGTTGGGTGCTTGACATTTTTAAACACCATCACCTCATTGCATCCTGTAGTTGAATGAACACCAATGCCTTGCTAGAACTGGGTTCTGGATTAATATCAGTTAAGTAATGAAATACAAGCCTTTCCTGCAAGAACAATTTAGAGCCACAGGAAGATGTAGCATTTCAGGGCCCTAAATTCGTATCTTGTAGCTGGGCAGAGGAAAACTTCCCATAAAGCAGCCCCTTTGGTTCAGACCTCAAAAGTTCAGAAACTACCAGTCACTCCCACTTCCCTCATTGCTAACTCCCTGGCTGTTTGTAAGGGCTGCATCGAACCACCAGAAATACAATTAATCCAGGGCCCCACCACCACCAGCCTCTGAAGTTCCTACCTCCTTCCCGCCAGCCCCAGACCCTGAGTCTCCTCCCACAGCTTACCAATGCCTGACCGCCTGAGCAGGCCTTCAGCGCTAAGCACCCCCGGTGTAAGCCAACAGGCTCCTTTAGTACAGGCAGGGTTGGGGCACAGTCTTGTCATCTGGAATCTGGTGGCCATGACCACAGGTAGCCAGCCTTCCAGGCTGCAGGGGATGTCACCTCTGGCATCTAGTCAGTTTTACTATCAACCCTTCTTTCTTCATCTACATCTAGGTCAGTCAAGACGCAAAAGCAAAGCCCCTGTGTGACTTTGGTAATAGTGGCTAAAGGAAAATAGAGAAAACAAGAGTTTAGCAAACAGCTGCAGCATCAATCTGAATACCACAGGGCTAATTAAAGCATATTTGACACTCCTTTCCCACCTGTCCCTTGGGTCCCGTGTGCCAGATTTGGCTCCTCACCCCACCAAGTATCACTGCCCTCCTTTCCATGTCCACCCAGAAAAGTCTGGTGCATGACCTCTCATCTTCGCAAACTCTTGGGAAGCAGTTTTAACACTCAAATGGGATTCATAGAACTAAAGTGATGGTGTCCAGATAAACAGTGTGGAGTGAAGTCTCCTGGCCTCCAGAGCCTCGCTGGGATGCAGGAAGCAACTAATAGCCCTACTGCTGCACATGCTGGTATAGACACAGACACACAGGCACACACACACCGAGTGATACGCTTACCCAGGACATTCCGAATAAAGAGCGGCCTCCGAGACACTGGCAGGTAAATACCCAGGAAGTAGACAGGTACTCCAGAAAGGGCGATACCGATGCCAATGAGGGAATTGATGGTGTCGCTGCAGAGGGGCACAATCACCAGAAACAAGGAGCATATGCAGAACACGATAGGGAAAAACAGGCTCAGCTGAAATGGAGGGAAGTTAAGACATTAGGTGAGTGGGGCTGGGGAAAGGCTATCGGCAAGAAGACACCTTGGGGAGATGGCCCATCCCTCCTCATCTGCCCAGAGGTGCTGACCTTGAGAGGCCGGGGACGGTCAGGCTCCTTCCAGCGAAGGTAGAGCTGTCCAACCACAGATAAGCCCACAAAAAACCAGTAGCTGAAGCTGAAGTAGTTGATGAGCAGGAACACATCCTCCACAGTGAGATAGATGAGCGCCATGGTGCACTGTAGGAAGGGCAGGAAAGACTGTTGTCACCAGGCCGCCCCAGGCACTCCGCCGTCAAAAGCAGCACAGATCTGCTAACTGTAGACTTGGCTTCACCCATTACGTCCAGGCCTTTTATTCTTAGGATTGACTTATTTATGCATACAGAACTGGGGTACAGGCCTTTTCAATGACCCTTTGACACCCAATGGGTGCTTTCAGCCCACTAACCTTCAGATGGTTTCTCTCCCTCTTGGGTACCCTTCCTACACTCAGTGCCTCTCTTCTTTTTGTGAGCACAAACCAGACTCTCTTCTCCTGAGGCCCCCTTCACTTCCATGCCCAACCCCGACAAGAATCACACTGTGATGACAAAGGACACTACTGCAAGTGATCCCAACTGCCTGGCACTCAAACAAGGAAAATGCCTCTAGAACCATCCTGCTGTCCTGGGACCTTACAAATGCAGCCTAGCAAAACAAATCTACTTCTGGATACAGAGGTATGACAGAATTTCTCCTCTGAAACAAAAGAGCTCTAGAAGACAGCAGTCAGATCTTGTCTGGAGACAAGATCAGATTTGCTTAAACTTCAAGAATATGGAGGTCCCCCTGCTTATCTTTTCACCCAGATTATCAACGAAGGATTTAAAACCAAAAGAGCCTGCTCTGGAGAGTGTACAGGGACCCTGTGTTGAGAAGGGAAAAAAGCATGAGGGACGGGGATTCATTTCAAAGACAATATGACAGATCTCTAAATCTACAAATTGAGTGCTATGCCAACCAAAATACTGAAAGGATGTTGTTATTTTGATAAAATGATACCAAAATTTATGAAAACAAATGTGAGAATTGCCGAGAATTCAAGGAGGGGGAAAGTATCTTCAGCTTCTCTTTAGTTCAGATATTCAATACAAAGCTAAATAATGAAGCTTGGTGCTGATGGGGAGAATTAATTAAAATTATACATTTGGGGGCCTCCCTAGTGGCCTAAGGAGTTAAAGTGAGCACTGTGAGCTATCCAAAGCCACGGCAACATGAGTTCCACCCCCCGCCAGAGAGCTGACCCACATGGCACAGCAGACCTCTCTTGTCCTGTCTGCTGCTCCCCTCAGTAAATCTGCCTGTTCTGCTCCCCCCACTCTGTCCATATACTCCAGTTCTTATATGCATAAATAAACGATACATTTGAGGGGCAATCTTAAGTACCCTAAACCTAAAAAATTAACTGTAATTATTTTTACATGATAAAAATTTGACAATCATGGAAAAATTGATGATTCAATAAATAATAATGGTCTACCTGGCTAGTGATTGAAGGAAAATTAAGTGAATGCTCACCTCTATTCACCAAAATATAAACTCCAGATGAGTCAAAAAAAAACTTTTTTGAAGAATTTTTTTAGAAGATTTATTTATTTGTGCATGCACGAACTGTGGTACAGGCCAGAGGTGCGGGGGATGAGAGGCTTCACCAGAGACAGAGTGGGGAGCAGAACAAGCAGATCGATGAAGTACACTGCTGAGGGGAGCAGCAGATGGAACAGGAGAGGTCTGCCGCGCCATGTGGGTCAGCTCCCTGGCCAGGAATAAAACTCATGCCGCAGTAGCTGTGGAAAGCTTCACAATTCTGTGCTTTAACCCACTGCACCACCAGGGATGGCCCTGAGTCCAAAATTTAACTTAAGTAATGAAGCTGTAAGAGAACTAAATGACAAGAAAAATGAACTGAACTTAGTTTGGAGAAAGTCCTTTCTAGGATCTCTGTAAACCTTAATGAAAATTAGGAAATTGTCATCCTTCTTCAGGGTTCTTCAGAACACTTTCATAATTTATTGATTTTGTTGGACTTACTGGCTCTGGCTTACTGCCACCCACTACATATGTCTATGATGTCTGTGATATAAGTAGAGGCCCTTAAAGGGTTGCTGGAGTACAAATGGGCTGGTTTTATAAAATATGATTAAAAGCAAAAGGAGCTAGAAAGATAAGTCACTGACTTGAACAGTAATTTTTATAAATGCATTTCTATACTCTATTGCAGTTTGCCTTCTCTAATATGACAATGTTTTATCTTTGCTTTGCTTTTCAATTTTAAGAAAAAGGAAGAAATATTAAGATGTTGAATAATATCTCAAGAAATTATCTCCCGGGGCCCTCCCTGGTAGCGCAAGAAGTTAAGTCTCAGTACTATGAAGCTGTCGGCAGTCACTGTAGCACAAGTTTGATCCCCGGGTAGGGAGCTGACCCACACGGCACAGCAGACCTCTCCTATCTCACCTGCTGCTCCCCTTAGCAGTGTATCTCAGTCAGTTCACGTGTTCTGTTCCCCACTGTTGCCTTCCTGTACCTCTCTGGCTTATACCCAGTTGTTATATGCATAAATAAATACATCTTTTTTTTTTTTTAAAGAAGCTATCTCCCACTCGACAAAGTCAGCAGAAGTACTAAATACACAGCTATAGCCAGTCCCCACCTTCCCCCAGCAGAGCTTACATTAAACAGTAAAGCAGGGATGGGTGTGAAACGCTCAACATGGATCATAGACAGAAGGTCTGGGAGGTGGCCCTCACGGGAGCCCACAAAGAATAACCTGGAAGAGTAAGAAATAAGTCAGCAGGATCCTTTTATGCAGCTATGCAGCCTCATTCCCCACTCAAACTAGGCTCAGAGTCTTAGAAAAAGGCAGGAGATAACCTCTCATGTTCTGTGTATGGCCAGCATAACCTACCCACCCCTTTATCCACATATATCCCCACACTCCAACCAGACACCTTACCATGATCCACGAATGCCCTACCTGTTGCTACCTACCGACACTCCCAGCCCCACAGCTACTGAATTCACCACCACCCAGATGCTCCCATTTCTCTCAACCAGATACTACACCGTTACCCCCCTCACCCCAACCCACCTCACTGGGTTAGCTCCGTTCTGCCACCCAACGGATTTCATTTTTGCCACAACGGTATTTTAAAGAAGGCAGCCAGGCATCTGTCATGCTTTACATATAGTTCCCCCGAGACCTAATACATGATGTGCCAAGGTGAGCCTGGGATACATGGGACAACCCAAACTTCCTCTCTACCAAACGAGCCCTACCCACCAGACAAACAACAGCAGAGAAGTGAGAAGCCACCCAGAGTAGCAGGAACCATCCTGGAACGCAGAGCACCGGGCTTGGGTAGATATCCCCCAGCCAGGCCTCCTAAGGCAGAGTTGCAATTGGCTCACAAGGCTAGTAATCTGTACCAGGTGGAGGAGAAATGTGCTAAGGGAAATGCTGCAAGGGGTCATGGGTAGGTGAGGCAAAGGTCTCTAGTACAGAGCCAAGATCGCTGCACAGGTAGTAAGAAAAAGTGGCAAAGGTAACCTGGCAGAAACAATCTGCACTATCTTCACATGGCCTAGTGCCCTTCATGTGCAGACCCAGGGCTTACCCTGAGCCTTCACTGCCCCCTCCTCCATCTTCTTGTCAATGTCACAAGATATCTGAGTAGATGTGAAGTCACCTACTAGCTAGCATTTCTTTGGGGAAGACTGGCAGAGCCAGCTGGGATGTCTTGGACTCAAAGAAGGAAAGGACTATGGGAAACACCATCTTCAAGGGTAGAGAGCAAGAAGTCTATCTGTGGGCCTCGGAGTTTTTGTGAAGTGACTGGCAGTCACCTTACACCAATTCCTGGGACACAGAAAGTGCTTACTGACGCCCTCTGGAAGGAGTGGCTCCCTGAAGCGTAACCACAAGGAGCCACACCTAAATAGAGCCATGATGGCAAGCTGTGTTCCTCCCCTCCACTTACCAATCTGTCCTCAACTCATTTGGAAATGTGAGCTACCGGCGCGCATGCGCGTACACTTACACACACACACACACACACACACACACACACACACACACGCGCGCGCGCACGCACACACAATCTCCAAGGGGTAGGGAAAAAGAAGGGTTCTTACAGGCTCACCTGGAGCCTCAGAGAATTAAACACTGGTCTCCTGTTATGAGTTAAACTGAGACACCATACCTTGATGAAGCAAAGATAGATGCGTTGAGGCCCCCAAAGCAGGACAGGGCGACAGCAATAGGAATGGTCCAGCTGAACATGCCAAATGTCTGGTCAGCGAAAGTCTGGGGGCAGAACACAGAGAGGCATTTGGCAAGCAGGAATCCGTAAGCCTCCTGCATCTAAGCTCCCAGGACAAACGCTGTCACCGCAGGCAGCCCACTCTGGCCTAGATCCATCAGCTTGCCCTGAAGAGCTGGGTTGGCTGCAGAAAGAGAAATCAAGCCATTCAGTCCCATAAGCTGACAAGCAAATGGGGATCCCAAAAGACTCACCACAGCCACAGCATCACTGTTAAGGACATCTGAAATGCTCAGCACTGTGTAATAGGCCACGTTGGTCAGGATGTAGATGAACGTCACAACTGGCATAGAAATCCCAATGGCCAGGGGCAAATTTCTGTCAGGACAAGTGAGACAGGACTATCTAGAACCAACCTCTCCTTGAGGTCAAAGTTCTCCCAGGGATTTTTTTTTTCCTGAGTTTTCAACAGTTCCCTGGCCTCTGGCTCCTCACCCCCATGTGGTCTAGGGTGGGTTTGTACCCCAAACCCAGGGTATTTCTACTGAATGAGAGAAAGACAGGGGAAGAAGGAGGGAAGACAGAGTGGGGCTGAGGGGGAGAAAGAGAGAGAGAAAGGTCATGATCATTACTTGATCCTAGCCACAGAGCAAACAATGGGTACCGCTGGAGGAGAGGCTAGAACCAGGCTGGGAACTGACTTCCCAGAATAAATGTCAGGGCCCCGGCTAGTGTCTGCACCAGAGTGCTGGCTGTGCTGCCCCAAAGGCCCTCTCGAGGGAGGCCCCGGGATGCGCCAGTGTAAGCAGGAGGGCAAGGAGCCAGGGGCTGTCCCATCCTACCCCACAGTCCCTCTGAGCGAAGGAGAGGGAGTAGAAGAAGGACGAGAGGCAGAGGAAGAGGAGGGGAAGAGGAACAGTGTGCCCACTCTGAGCAGGCGTTCCCGTCAAGTTGGGGATTGACAATGACAGTGTGATTGTGCCTTTACCTTTCTGGGTTTTTTATTTCTTCTGTTACAAAATTAAGGGTGTCCCAACCTGAGAAAGAAAAGAGGGCAGAGAAGAGGGCGAGAGAGATGTGTCCCATGTCCCAGGAGGAACCCTTAAAGGCATTCTGAAAGTGCTCAGAGTGTCCTGTGTGAGGCAAAGGTAGATGAGGGGGTTCAGGGAGAAGGAAGAGGAAGGAGAAAGGGGAAGAGGGGAGAGGAGGCAGGATGGGAAGGGGAAGTAAAGAAAAGGAAGGGGAGATGGCAAAAAGGAGAAAGGAAAGGAAAAGAAGGTCAAGGGAAGAAGAGGGCAGGGGAAGAAAAAAACATCATTTAATACCAAGGCAAAAATTACCACCAGCTCCCTGCCCTTTACCACCCAGCAACAAACTCAGAAAGTTCATATTCTTTTAAGAAAACTAGACACTCTCAGAAAAAGTAAAAAGCTTTCCTTGCTGCCCTCTGTCTGATGTGATAACAATTTTTCCAAAGTTCTAATGAGTTTCCATTTCCTGCCCGCAACCTCAGAGCCAGCCACAGTTCTTCCTATTTTCTAAAAAAAAAAACCCTGTTTCACATTAAAGGAGCCATTTTTGATTAACATTTAGACCTTCCTGTGACACTAGTCCTCTTGGCCTAAGCCAGTACGGTTTGATCGAAAGGCTCCTTGGGCACAGAGAGAGCTCTGTTGCTATACTTGGTGTGGCACAGTTACATGAGAGAGGAACGGGGACCTTACACCTGGGCTTGGGATGGGCCTGAGTCACCACCCTTGCAGACCCAGCCTGGGCACTTGTCCTTCTTTTAGAAGACACTGGACACTAAAGACTTGAAGCCAGGGGTCTGACACCAATTGCCCTGGCCAGAGAGCTTCAGACACACTGCAGGTTATTACCTAGACCCAAATATGAAAGGAAGCCTGCTGTCACTCCTGCAGAAAGCTAGACCGGCCCCTCAGTGAGGCCAACAGCCCAGTGCTTGTAGCCAAAGGAAAAATAAAGAGTCCCTGTGGCCCAGAGGCACCAATCATCACACACAGCAGAGGTTCCTTAAAGCACAGATCTTGGAGGAGTACTCAGCGACCCCAATTTTTTGACTTCAGGATGTTCTTGAGACTTGAGGGACATCAGATGAGTGGTTATACTAACCTGGCATACAAGCACAGAGGTCGGATCCAGCTGCCTAAGAATCACCCAGGACATTTCTTAAAATGTTTGATTTCTAATTAACCAGTTGCTCCCACAGGTATGAGCTGGGGGAGGGGGTAGAAGCAGAAAAGGGGAGGGGTACAGTTTGTCTCAGCTCCCCAGGTAATTATTAATACAACCAAATTCAGAGACATAATCTGGAAAACTGAATTGTTAAAGGATTGGACAAAGACTCCTCAGAACTTCTCTAAGAGCTCAGGAGATCCTGGTAGACTTGTTACCCTCACTGCCTGTCTGCTCTGACACAGGAATGAAACCCTTAAAAGTCAACATACAGGAAAGTCAGTGCCAGCGTCACAGTATTTTAATATTTTGTTGAGAGCTGGCTTTGGAGGAAATACTAAAAGCAAATTCAGATGAAAAATAGAGCCTGGGGCTTCCCTGATGGGGCAGGGGGTAAGTTAACTCTCAGCACTATTACTCTATCACCACTGCAACCTGAGTCTGATCCCCAGCCAGGGGGCTGACCCACATGGCTCAGCAGACCTCTCCTGTCTCGCCAGCTGCTCCCCTCAGCAGTATTTTAGTACATCTGTTTTGTGGTTTGTTTGTTTGTTTTTTTAAGATTTTATTTATGCATCCAAGAACTGGGGCACAGGCCAGAGGTGCAGGGCGTGAGAGGATTCACCAGAGACAGAGTAGGAAACAGAACAGGTAGATTAACTGAAATACACTGCTGAGGGGAACAACAGGCGAGACAGGAGAGGTCTGCTGCGCCATGTGGGTCAGCTCCCTGGCCGAGGACCACCGAACTGATGCTGCAGTGGCTGCTAACAGGTTCGGAGTGCTGCACTCCAACCCACTGCACCACAAGGGAAGGCCAGTACATCTGCCTGTTCTGGTGCCCAATCTGTCTCTGGTGAATCCTCTCACTACTAACCCCAACACTCTGGTCTTTAATACCCCAGTTCTTGGATGCACAAATAAATCTTTTAAAGAAGAAAAACAGGGCCCTCCCTGGTGGCACAACAGGTTTATGCATAGCACTATGAAGTTAGCGCAACTACTTCAACATGAGTTCGATCCCCTGCCAGGGAGCTGACCCACATGGTGCAGCAGACCTCTCCTGTCTCACCCGCTGCTCCCCTCAGCTGTGTACCTTGTTGATCTGCCTGCTCTACTCCCTACTCTGTCTCTGATGAATCCTCTCGCCGCACCTGCACCTCTGGCCTGTAACCCAGTTCTATTTGCATAAATAAATAAATCTTTAGGAAAAAAAAGAAAAAGAAAGCCTGCAAGATAACCACTCATTTCAACACCTGTCTTCCTACCACGCACATACCCTCCCAGTCCTCTCAAGCATTCTTAGGCTCTACCTGGGAGTAATAGACCTAAAACAGGAACACACACTATCCTCATTGATTATTTTTATAACCTAAGTGTGGTCCAAGTTTCTAGAGCTCCTAGGCCCTGGCAGGCTTCCTGTAATACTCTCAACCTCCACAAAGGGAAAGCAGCTCTGAGGGAAGGTGGACTCAGGGCCAAGGCAACCTGACCAGAGTCCAGGGACTCCTAGGTCACTGGCATACATGGCCCAGCGTGGATGTAGAGAGCTGAGTAATGGAGCTAACAGTGACCCATGTCTGCCTCTGGGACCCCAGAGGGACTCCTGGAGTCAGCCACCCTCCTCCCTACCTTAAGCCCTTCTTACCCTGGCACAGTTTAACAAGGCCCATGACAATGATGGCAAGAAGCGCCAGGACCTTGGCATACGTGAACGTGTCCTGCACACGTGTACCCCACTTGACGTAGGCACAGTTCACAAACGTCAGCAGACCTAGGAGGAAAACCATAGAGTCACTGGCAGCTTGAACTGAGGGCAGAGAGGCCCAACATCCTTTACAAAGAACATCACTTTTATCTTATCTGCCTACTGTAAAGGGGCCAATCACTAGTCACCAGAACGGGCAAACAGGGGACAGTCCCCATCTGCCCAAGCTGAGGGATAGCCACACATCCCATTACTGTTGACAAGTGAGCTACACACATTCATATAATTCAGTAGCCAGAACCACTTCTGTAAATGCCCCCACCCCATGGATGGTGGACTTGACCCACTCTTCACCACTCAGCCTCCCAAATTTCCAGAGGAGGCCTAAGACTTCTCCATGACTATATAAAACATAGGACCACCAATAAATTGAGTTGAATTTGAATGCAGGTGGTAGGCCACCTGAGAATTAGAAAGACAATGTTTTGTATGTAAATGTGCAGGGCAGGGGGGCCTGTTAAGTGCTGGACAACTTCACATTCATCCTCACATTTAATTCTCACAATCCCCAAGTACAGACATTCCTATTCCCATCTTAATGATAAAGGAAATGAGACTGATGGAAGCTAACTAACAATCATTCCTAAATGAATATGGACCCCACTCCCATTTCTATCCAAACCTCTAAATCTGGGGAGGTCCATGAAGAAGCACTTGGGGGTTCCCACAGCTCAGTCAACAGGGCTCTGATGGCTGGGCCCTACGCTAAAAGTCCCAGCCTTTACCCTTCTAAAAAGGGGCTGTTCTCATCCCAGGGGAGGGGAGTGGGGCACAGAGGAGACCCAAATAGCAAAGGTATTCCACAGTGACACCTCTTACCTCCAAAAATAGAACTTTTATGTGAACCTCAAGAGTTATCACAGGATCTGTTGGCCTCATCCTCCAGGCCACTTCTGCTTCCTCCTACCAGCCAGACTCTCCAGATTGGTGCCAGATAAACATATAAAAGAATCATCTTTCCTCTTCTTCCCCCCACAGCCAACAGCATCTCCCACTCTCAAGGTAGCTCACCCCTACTTCCTTGTAAACTCTTCCAAATAAACCAGCCAGCCCCTCACTGAGCTCTATCACCCCTGAATTCTCCAGCACTTTCACTTCACAGCAGTTTAACTTCTCAAGCTGTAGTCAGGTAGACTTGGACTCAGGCCAGTCTCACCCCCAGGAGACTGTAAATTCTCTGGGGCAAACAAAAGCATATTGTTTTTTTTAAACTCAGTGTCAAGCCAAGAGGGAAACTGCTGAGCCCTTGTTGGAATGAAGGTGGCAGTGACTTTCACTTAACTGCCAGTTCCCTCGGGGGCTGTCAGAAACTGGAAGATCTCCACTCCAGCCTCCAGGAGGGGACTGCCTGGGACCAGTCTGTGAAATAGCAAACGGGGCAGAACATTCTCCAGGGCACTTCAAGAGCTTTCACTCAATACAATGGTGGTCACCCAGGTGCTTATAGGTCTGTTAGCACCTGGCTGGTGATGAGGGTTGCGATGGTCAAGATGACAGAAGGACAAAGGAATGCAGGCTGCTGGCAGGTTTCCCCAGGACCTGCCGTGCTTATCGCTGTGCTTCCTGGTGCTAAACCTAGATCAACTGACGCAGGACGGCCTGGTGGCCTGGCTGTAATAATCACCGGTAATCCACAGGCCCCTGTGCTATACAGTAGCATAACTTGAGGTACCTGCTGGATCCTGTCCTAGGAACTGTTCCTCCTCTCCTGTCATGGCTGATCTGTCTAGACACTGGACTCAAACTGTACTTAGTGAATGATCTCTCCTGACACCAATTAGGGAGATTACCAAAGACTGAATCTATCTAACATTAGCAACAGACAGGGCCACAGTAAAGTTAGTCATACACAAGCACTTGTAACAGAGAAACAATAGCCACAAGAAAGCAGAGGAAGGAAGCAGGACTCCAAAAAAGCAGCAGAAGAGAAAGGCTGTGCAGCTTGTGAGAACAAGGCTGAAGGCAAAACATGCAGAGGGACCCAGGAGACAGAGACAGACAGAAAGGGACAAAATGGGATGGAGAAAAAGATGCACATGCCCACCGAGAAAGACTATCTCCCAGAAACCTGGCTGTGTTCCCCGAGCTTCTAGTTTGCAGGGCAAGATGTGGCTGCAAGACAGAGAAGAGAAGCTGACACTCCCCTGCCCCAGACCAGCAATCTCTCCTTCTGCCCCTACCTCCGTCCACAGAGCTAGATTTCCCACAGGGCTGTGGCCCCAGTAAATGAAGTAAATATTGTTCATGGTAGCACTTCAGTGAAAATACAGCAGCCTCTTCCCAAAGACCACTTGAAAGGACATAAAGTTACCTCTGGGGAGGAAGAGTGAAGCTCTGAGGGAAGGAGACATTTTCCACTATATATATCCTTTTATACTTTTATTTACCACACACGTATGCTTCTTTCTTAATAAAATTAAAAAATAATTCGCAACAGCGTGAGGCCAGGGAACAGGACCAGAGGTTGGGTAAGGGGAGTAAGGCCATGAAACTGTCAGGGACTGTGCAGGGCCTCCCGAGAGAGGAAGCCTCCCAACGCTGGCCCCAGTACCTCATTGCCTCACCCTCTTCTCAGGCCTGCCAGAACAGAGATCTCCCAGGACAGGCTGCCAGGCAGAAACCATGTCCCTTGACTGTTGTCCTGATTCTAATTAAGAAACAAAATGTCACCATCTGATTTACACCCTCCTTCCCTCTCAAAACTCCCATCCCCATGGAGTGCATGACAGACACTGACTCTACTGGAACCCAAAGTCAACATGGCCAGGCCTGCAGGCCAGGGACTCACACAACTGCCACCATGAAAACACCCAGGCTTGCCTCGTCCCTTCACTCATACCCTTGCACCAAAGATGCTGGAACCCTCATGAGGATCTTCAAGGCTCTCTGGGAACTTGATGCTGAGAAAGGAGTATTCAAACAGCAAATCCAGACTCAATTCCAAAAGAGAAGCGAAACCCCAAAGTCCCTCTGTGTCCTAATATCTGTTCTGCCATTGTTTCTTAGCAACAGGGGTTTCAGCTGGAGTCATGGCTGCCCAAAATAAAGTTGCTGTTTCCCATTCTCTACTACAGGTAGGAATGACCAGGTAACTTGGTTCTGGAAGGATATGAGTGAAGTTTCACAGGAACAGAATGTCAGGGAAGCACATCTGTGAGGCGGCAGATGCCTTTCTTTGTCCTGTCAGCTACAGTGCAGGTGGGACAGCGAGGGCTTGAGCAGCCAGCTGGACCCCTGACGCACAGCCACATGCGGAAGACAGCAGAAAAGTAAGACAGAAGGGAGAATCCTGTTCCTACTAAATGATGAAGTCATGCTACCAGCCCCACACTGCGCCTTTTCCCACATGCGAGAAATAAACTTCAATATGTATGAGCTTTGCTGCTTTTGCCTCTCGTTCTCTGACACCTAGAGGAATCCTGAATAATGTATGTGCCCAGGGACAGGGCTGCGCCTCCCCTGCTCTGCTGAAGAGCAGTGGCGGGGGAAGCCCAGCCCAAGTCCTGCGGTAGGCACAGCCCCCTCTCCCCAGAGAGGAAGGAACCTTTCCAATTCCTCCCACACTCGGGCGGGGTGTCACTCAGGGCATCCAAGGCCAGGGGTGCAATCCTTAACAACAACAAAGTGGGAGAAAGGAGAAAAACAACTACTAGGAGAGAAAAGTTCTACTGTTCAGTAAAAGCAAACAAACCCTCCCAAATGCAGAACCCACGATCAAGAGCAACTTCTTGGAATTGTATGACTTGGAATTGTGAGGGACAGGCCTTCTTAAAAAGATGTTTTCTCAACTACATACTATTTTTATTTATATATTTTTTGCACTGCTGGTAACTTTGTTTTTCCCACCAACATCCCTTGGGTCCCCTTGAAGCTTTCTCCTTCCCCCCCACCTCTTATGTCAGAAGGCTCACTTTGTTTATTAAATGTACATGCAAAAAAAAAAGGAAAAGCCCCCTTTTTTTAAAGCCTCCTGGCTTTTTATTACACACACACATATATAGTAAGCCTTATTATAAAATTTTCAGTCTTATTATAAAAATTTCAAGTGTGTATGTATGTATACAGAGTAGTTAGTTGGGGTCTTGAAGCAACTACAGTAAACACACAATCCTCCTAAGCCTACCACTGGCAGAAGAAGAAAGCTATTTCCTGTCCATCGCAACAACTCACCAAAACAGGGAAGCATCTCCTTCCTACTGAGGACTGTGCCCAAGTCAGAGTCTGCGTCTGAGATAGCAGAGGCCACAGGAAGTCCCTGAGGCATCCTTGGAGTGCCTTCACTCCAGGTTCACCATGGCAGTCTCCCTCCCCTTCCACCTTTTCCTTCACTGTCAGCCTCCTCAAACAAACCTCAGGGACAATGCTGCCAGCAGGCCTCTGCTTTGTTGTCACCCTGTGTTGAATTGACTTTCATATTAAAACCTTCCTGGCAGGCCCTCCCTGGTGGCGCCATGGATTGAAGCACAGCACTGAGAAGCTGGAGCCACTTCCGCATGAGTTCCATCCCCGCCTGCCCGGGAGGTGACCACATGGCGCGGCAGACCTCTCCTGACCTGCCAGCTGCTCCCCTCAGCAGTGGACTTTGTCGATCTGCAGTTCTGCTCCCAGCTCTGTCTGTGGTGAATCCTCTCACCCTCCGCATCTCTGGCCTGTACCCCAGCTCTGTATACAAATAAATAAATCTTTAAAAAAAAAACAAAAACCGGCCCTCCCTGGTAGCGCCATGGATTGAAGCACAGCACTGAGAAGCTGGAGCCACTTCCGCATGAGTTTGATCCCCGCCTGCCCAGGAGGTGACCACATGGTGCGGCAGACCTCTCCTGACCCGCCCCCTGCTCCCCTCAGCAGTGTACTTCATCGATCTGCCTGTTCTGCTCCCCACTGTCTCTGATGAATCCTCTCACCCTCCGCATCTCTGGCCTGTACCCCAGTTCTGTATGAATAAATAAATAAATCTTTAAAAAAAAAAAAAAAAACCTTCCTGGCAAATAATGTGTGAGGATACACCACAGGCAGAATCCCAGTGATAAAAGGCCCCAGCACGCCTCAGCCAGAACATCACCTCTGGCGTTCAGAACAAGTACTCTTAAAGTGCTGACTGCCTTGCCTACAGAGACTATTCCTGGTCACCAAGCCAGAGAGAAGGGCCCAAAGGCTTCAAGAACTCCCATGTTCCCCCCACAGTCCCATAAGTGAATAAGAGCACCTAAGCTTACTGGGTTCAGTCTGCAGCCTGAGGCCCAACTCTCCACAGAAGATACCAAGATGCAGAACCTGTAAGAGGAGACTGCACCTCAAGTATAGCAATTGTCAATCTCAATACTATAGACATTTTGGGTCAGACAAGTCTTATTCGTGGGGCTATCCCATGCACTACAGGGTTTTCAGCAGGCTTCTAGGTCCCCATCATCGCTGCCAGCACTACTCCCTCCCAACAGCACATGGAGAATCCAGACCTTGCCAAAATCCACTGTGGAGCAGACTCACCTAGGGTTGAGACACACTGCTCTAGGATAATGAGTTACTGAGACAACCTGAAATGCAAAAGTAGCTGTTTGCCTCTCCCTGCCAGTGTAACCTGGGCCCCTGTAGCCAGGATCCAAACAACAGTGCCTTCAGGGGCCAGGGCAATGACCCACAAAAGCAAAGGCAAGAATTGGATATAAAACAGAGGGAGCAGAGAACTACAGCAGACTGGAGAGTATGTACTCCACTTAAAGGGACCAACCACTACCTATATTCAGCTGACTGTGTAAGGCAAGAGCTAGGGTCCAAGTTTGCCAGAACTTGTGACTTTTCAAGAGAAAGAGAAAATTCTAATTTTCAAATATGCAACTAATTCACAGTTGATTATAATCCTGTTCAGGACAAACTATCTGTAGGCCAAGTCTGCCACGTGGATCACCAACTGCGGTCTTTGCCCTACAGGGGACTATGTGGAGCCTGTCTGGGCCGGTCTTTCTACTACGGGTCCTTAATGCCTACTTTGGTATGGCTATGGTTCTTTTTAAAAAATATTTATTTAATTACATATATCAGAACTGGGGTACAGGACAGAGGTGCAAGAGGATTCACCAGAGACAGAGCAGGGAGCAGAACAGGTAGATGAAATACCTGCTGAAGGGAGCAGTGGGAGGGCCAGGAGATTCCTGTCAGGCCATGTGGGTCAGCTCCCTGACCAAGAACCGAACTCATGCTGCAGTGGCTGCTGATCGCTTCATAGTGCTGTGCTTTAACCTACCAGTATGGCTATGATTTCTTTCAATCCTCTCTAATGTGCCAATTCCAAAACGAACTTAATTTTCTTTTCCTGCAAGCAGGATTAGGTGCACCCTGGATTCAGTGCAGATTTTTGTTTTTTTCCCTCTTTATGACCTAATTGGAATCTTCCAATTTATGTCCCTTGAAACCAGGCTGCTCTCACTGACACCCCACTCAAGGAGACGCCCTCCAGCACATCCCAGCTTTGTTGGATGACCCATCAGCCTGACTCTGAACCCTAAGTTCAAAGAAGAGAAGATGAACCCTAAAGTCTAGTCAGACAGGATAGGACAGCACACATTTGGTCCCACCTGCAACTAATTTCTGCCTTCAGGCTTGGATTATGGAAGATCTGGGTTTCTGGAACAGGAGGTTCGCAGAAATTCAGATTCTGAGAAATCTGGGTAAAGGTATATTTGAATGAAAGAAGATATAATTTTAATAGGGTGGCCCCCAGGAAAAAGGGAAATTCCAGTTTTCCTGCCTCACCCAAGGGAGGATGGAGCAGAGATGGGAGAAGAAGATGGAAGAAACAGGGGAAGAAAGGAAGAAGGAGGATAGCAAGGAGGAGACCTGGAGAAGCCACATGGAGCAGACAGACTAGTGAAGAAGCTGTACTTGCTTTTCGGTCCGGGACTGTTTGAAACAGATGTGGGTGAGAGACCCGTGGGGTGATTCACAATGGCAGCTTTTGCCTTGATTTTGCTCCTTCTGTCTTAGACATGCTGGGCCTCTTCTGCCCCTTTCCTATGCGTCCCCACTAGAGGTGCCTTGGACCTGTGACAGACTTTTGGGCCTCAGAGGCCCTGTTTTGGGGTAAACCTCTTCGGCTGGACATTTACACACAAAGGAATAGGTAACTTTTGGTGCCTGATTTGGAAACTGTATTCTTCCCCTTTTCTGTATTGCACACTAATTGTATTTAACATCGTGACTTTGCATTTCTCCTCCATTCAAGATATTGGCTCCCAGCATGGAAATGGACTTCTTAAACATAGAGAAAATGGGGGGAAAGTCATAAAGAAAAAAAGACTTAACAAAAATCTATTGTATAAGAAAAATTATATAAAAAATACATTTTAACTTGGTTATTCTTGGAAACTATCCTATGGCTATCATGGGGAAAATACACAGGCACACTCAAGTACTCAAATGAAAAAGTACAAACTCACAGAACCCTCTAGAAAGCAACGGAGAATCTTAAATCACTTTATTTCTTTAGACACAGAGTTCTCTTACAGAATTCTATCCTAAGAAATTATGTAAAAAAGGTCCCTCCCTGGTGGCACAATGCAAGTGCAGCACTACAAGTGAGCCAGCTGCTTCAACGCCAGTTCAATCCCTGCCCCAGGTGATCCTCACGGCTCGACCCGCCCACTGCTCCCCTCAGCAATGTATTTCATCAGTCGGCCTGTTCTGCTCCCCACTCTGTCTCTGGTGAATCTTCTCACCATCTCACACCTCTGGCCTGTACCCCAGTTCTGTACACATAAATAAATAAATCTTTAAATAAAAAAAAGCAGTGTACAAACAAAGTATGATCTGGAGATTTTTTTTTTAATGATAGTGGGCTCTCCCTGGTGGCACAACAGGTTAAATCACAGTACTATGAAGCTATCCATAGTCACTGCAGCACAAATTCAATCCCCAGCCAGGGAGGCGACCCACATGGCCCAGCAGACCTCTTCTCTCCCACCCACTGCTCCTCTCAGCAGTGTATTTCAGTCTGTCTACCTGTTTGGCTACCAACTCTGTATCTAGTGAATCCTCTCACTGCCCCTGCACCTCTGGCCTATACCCCAGTTCTTGTGTGCATAAATAAATAAAGCTTTTAAAAAATGTTTCTTTTGAAGGATATTCCAGGAAAAGGAAAACCCATGATGCATTAACTTTATAGCAGCATAAAGTTATATGCCAATTCTATAAAAGAAATGAAGAAATATTAGAAGTATTCATCTCTTGGTGGTAGATAATGGGTGGTTTGAGGTACCACTAACTTTCTCCTTAATGAACATGTTTTATAGTCAGAAAATTATTCACTTTTAGAGTGTTGAGGCAGGCAGAGTTCCCCTGGCTAAATCCTATCAGACATAAAGCGAGTACCCACCTTCCCCTATCTCAGGGGTATCGGGTATCCTTCAACAGTGGTCTTTTAACAAATTCCTTAGCGTCAGGGAGAGAGGCACACCATATAATCTCCTTACTGCTAACTCCAAGGCACATTCAGTCTATTTTTAACACTGTGGATAAATGCCACACACTGCCAAAGTCCTTGCAAGCAGAGTTATGGAAAGAACAGAGCATAGTTAAGTGCCTCTGGCAGCATGGTGCTATGGAACACCGGGAATTCTGGGCCGCCTCTCAGCTAAAACATGAACTCCACAAGACTGGGGAAATTTACAGCAAGTTGCTCTCCCTTTCAGTGAATTCACAGAATCCCTCTTAATCACCTCATAGGAGAAAAAGGGAAATAAAGAGGGCTCCATCCAGATTTTCAGGTTCTGTTCTCAGAAGCCCAAATATGGGGTTGAAGACGCCTTCCCTCACTGGCCACCGCAGAGCTTGTTTACAAAGTTAAGTGTACAGAAATGTGAAACACCAGTGGGATAGCGCCTTGAGAGCCGTACTGCACCTACCCCTGGCTAGAGATGCCTGGCCAGTTCTGTATGCTGTCACAGTGTCTGAGCACTCATGGCGCCTTTCTTAGAAGCAGTGGAGCTCTTCCTACCTCCCTTCACTGATGCCTTTAATCTAGTTTAAAAAAGAAAAGTTTTCTTATTTTTGAACAGCAAGATAAACACCTCAGGACTGATAGTTTTTTTCTGAGTTAACTTACAACAAGTAAAAAAGAATATAGTATAACATTAAACAAACAGGAAAAAACTGACTAGTGATGTTGACTTGAATCAAAAAAATCTCAAAAGATAAATAGAAGACATCACCAGTTTGTCACACAAGCTGGAAAAAAGAAATCAGAAACAGCCAGGAGCTGAAAGAGTGTGAGACGCCAAAAGCTAAAAAACAGATTCCGACTTCCCCACACCTATCCTGTGCTCTTACTTGTCACTAAGGATCAAGTGACATTGGTGAAATTACCTATTCAAAGGTAAGATATCTCATCAGCCCACCCAAAAGTAAAATATGCTGTTCAAACATAAGGTACCATTAGACATTATTAAGTAACCCACAGCCCCATACATTCTCCCTACAAAGCCCCCAGACTTACATATACAAGCAGCAGCAAGGAGCCGGCAGGCCAGGTACGGGGGCTCACAGGTGGGGAAGGAGGGCTGGATGATGTAGTTGGCAAAGGTGATGGCGATGATGGCCTGACTGGTGGGCTCCACGATAAGCAGTGAGGCCCACAGACGAATGAAGGCAATGAAGCCCCCAAAGGCCTCTAGGATGTAAGCGTAGCTGGCCCCAGACTTGGTGATGGTGGTCCCCAGCTCTGCATAGCAAAGGGCACCCACAACAGAGAAAAGCCCACCAATGGCCCATATGAACAGCGACAAGCCATAGGAGCCAGTGTGTACCAGCACGCCCTTGGGTGAGACGAAGATTCCTGAACCAATCATGTTGCCCACCACCAGGCTAACTCCATTCAGCAAAGAGATCTCCTTCTTCAGCTGCATAGTTTCTGTGGTTGCTTTAGATGGTATCGTGACATCTTCTTGCTCCCTGGATTGGCTGGTCTCAGGAATGAGATGGTAGGTGGGTATGGGGGTCTCCAAGTCCCTGGCTTCCATAGTTAACTTTTCCTTCACACCTGTGTTTACTGTGTGCCTGGAAAAGAACAGAAATATGTCACTCTGAGCTCCAGGAAGTAGAAAAAGGGAGGTAGGAAGAGCTCCACTGCTTCTAAGAAAGGTGCCATGAGTGCTCAGACACTATGACAGCATACAGAACTGGGGTACAGGCCAGAGGGATACAGATTAGGGGGGATTCACCAGAGACAGAGTGGGGAGCAGAACAGGCAGATCTGCTGAAATACACTGCTGAGAGGAGCAGTGGGAGGGTCAGGAGAGGTCTGCCCCACCATGTGGGTCAGCTCCCTGCCTGGGGACGGAACTCATGCTGCACTGTCCACAGTAGCTTTATAGTGCTGCGCTTTTAACACACTGCACCACCGGGAAGGGCCCTGCCTCATCTTTTTAAGGAAGAAATCTGATAGGCTATTTGATTCCCACCCAGAAGTCAGTCCTGTAAGGTCACAAGATAAATTCCAGAGGTAAGAATGGGATCTGCATATCATCTTCCTAGAAGCCTCTCATCTACTTAACAAAAGTGGATGTGCCAGAATCTTGTGTCATGGTGCCCAGGACAAGGGAACCACAGCCACTCAGGTGTGAGTAGTTCTCAGGGCAAAATCCCACCTCCACAACACCCCTGCCTCACCAGTCCCAGTCTGCGTCCAGAGTCCAGACTTGAGCCCAGTAGAAAAATGCTCCCCTGGGGCACTAATAAGCATTCCTCCTGCCCCAGGGATGTGAAGCCATCTAACTCCTGCTCAGCTGAGGTCTGGTTCTGAGGCAGCAACACTTCTCTTACTTCTGGCACCACGCCACGCAAGTTTCCTTATAAGGCACATGGGAGCATATTTGTTTTCACGTGTCTGTCAGGTGAGCCCAGGCAGCCATGAAAACAAAACCAGGAAACAGCCACAGAGCCCATATTCTCACTAAGAGAGAGATGAAGAGGCCACCTTTCCCACTCAATACATGCAAGCAGAGAAATGTGACCCCAATGACCACTCCAGTCTTCCCCTATGCTATAAGATCATTGCTGCAAGGACAAAGACTAGGACTATTAAGTATTCTTTTTGGACTTCTGACACCAGATGTGTGGGTTTCCTAAACATCAAGCAATGCTGTGACACCAGCTGGATGTCCTGTAATTTAACTCAATTCAGACACTACTCACCTGGAAAGAACACCACATCCCCCAGGTTAAGGGCTCAGTCCTACAAAACACCCCCCTCCCCAATTTCAGACTCCCTGGCAAGTCCAGATTGTTACCTATGCTTCTGGCCAAATGGTTATAGGTTCCTGTTTGCCCTTCCTTGGTTCGCTTCATTTGTTAGAGTGGTTCGCTGAATTCAGGTAAACAGTTTACTCATTAGATGACCATTTTATGATGAAAGCTACAACTCAAGTACAGCAAGATGAGAGATGCACTGGTATGTGAGAGCAGCATAAAGTGCCCACTGTCCCTCTGCCTTCACCACTCTCCCAGCACCAGCACATGTTCACTATCCAGCAAGCGCCACACACCATCCTTCAGGGTGTTTTATGGAGGCTTCGTTGCAAAGGCAGGGCGAGTAAATCACTGGCCTCTGGTGATGGATTCAGTCTCAAAACTCTCCCCTCCCCAAACGTTGGGACTGGACTGAAAGTTTCAGTCCTCTAATCACAGGGTTAGTTGCCTTGACAATCAGCCTCCATCCTTAGAGATGTAGACGCTCTAAGATTTACCTCATTATCATAAATTCATGTATGGTTGACGGGAGTTTATGATATAAGTAATGAAAGTATACATTTCTCCTTTATGCTCTAGAGCTATTTCAAGAACTGGTAACAAAGTTAAATATTTTAACAGAAGATTCCTCTATGGGTCTTATACAGGAAGTGACAGGAGCTGTGTGCCAGGAACAGTGGACAAAGACCAAATGCATATTTAATTACACTGTTACAGAAAGTTCATTTCATTGGATTCATTTCACTGGAAAATAAATGGTATAAGAAGGAATTTCCCTGACTTTTAACTTCCATTTAGGATGTAGAAAGTGGGGCCCTCCTTGGTGGCACAGTGGGTTAAAGCACAGCACAACAAAGATCTCTGCAGCCACTGCAGCATGAATTTGATCCCTGGCCAGGGAGGTGACCCACAGGGCAAGGCAGACCTCTCCTGACCTACCCGCTGCTCCCCTCCGTAGAGTATTCAGTATAACTTCTTGTTCTGCTCCCAACTCTATCTCTGGTGAAGTCTCTCACCCCCTTACTTCTGGCCTGTGCCCCAGTTTTTGTGTATATAAACAAATCTTTAAAAAAAAAAAAAAGGCATCTGCAAGGTGAGAGGCAGCTCTGACCCCCCCCCCAAAAAAGGCATCTGCAAGGTGAGAGGCAGCTCTGACTCCCCCCCCCAAAAAAAAGGCATCTGCAAGCATCTCTGACTCCCCGATGGCAGAAGGAGTCAACGGGACCATTCTTCAGGCAAGGAAGAATTCAGAGCTTTTTTTTTTCTTTTTAACAACAGGTTATTTTTTTAAATTTACTTTTATAAACATTTATTCATTCATTCATACAGAATTTGGGTACAGGCCAGAGGTACAGGGGTACCTCAGAGTAAGACTGGACAAATGAAGAGAAGTCCTCTGCTCCCCACCAGGAGAGACTTCTCCAGAGACAGAGTCGGGGGCAGAACAGGCAGATCAAGGAAGCACACTGCTGAGGGGAGCAGCGGGCAGGCCAGGAGAGGTCTGCAGCACCATGTGGGTCACCTCTGGGGCTGGGAATTGAACTCTCACTAAAGCATCTGCTGCCAGCTTGCAGTGCAGCGCCTTAACCTGCTGCGCCAGGGAGGGCCTCAGAGCAATTTTTAATGAACATTAAAGTCAAGTGTGAGTTAGCAAAAGACAGTGACACTCAGAGGTCTCCCTCTGCAGACCTCAGTGCGTACGCATAACAAACATCAGCAGGAAAACAGGGAAAGCCTCTGGGGGTGCCAGCCTGGAGGAGGAAAGCAGTGACTGCCCTGGGAAAAAGACAAAGGCCCACCTGGTCCTTTTCTAACAATACAAATCTTAGATCCCTGGTAAAAGATGGGAAACCATCACCTCCCAGGCAGCTGGGGCAAGACAAAAGAAAGATATGGTAACTCCTCCGCGCCTACAGAAGGGCAAATTTTGATCTAGACCATTATAGGTGCTATAGCTTATAGTTCTTTCACCTCTGGGGGAGGGGAGGGGTCACCTAGAAACACCCATCACATATCCACACACCCCAGAGCCAGGAAAAGAGAGCCTAACTCAGAGTAAGACTGGACAATGAAGAGAGAAGTCCTCTGCTCCCCACCAGGCGACAAGACCAGCAGACAGAGCAGAGGCATAGATGCACAAAGAGACAAAGCTGAGGGTGGAGCTTAAAGATGAAGAAAATCCATTCCCCATCAAACCTCCCCTAGGCATTAGGAAACACCAAGGAATCTGAAGACACTGGTGCACCTGAGGTAACCACAGCAAACACAAAACCCAAACCCAATCTCCTGACTTGAACTCCCACATTAGCAGTCTAGCAAAAGTAGAGGGTATGTGCAGAATAAATATGATGTACCTCAGTCTCCACTGCTTTATACACTATATCCAACAACAGCAATTGCAAGCAACACAAAAGAGCAACAAAAACAACACAATATCAGAAATCAAAACAATCAATAAGGGCCTACGATGGCCTGGGGATTAAGTCTCAGCACTATCACTGTGATGGCCTTCAGAGGGGAGGCAGTGGCTCAAGCCCTGGCCAGGGAGCTAGCCCACATGGCATAGCAGACCTCTTCTGTTTCACCTCTGCTCCCCTTGGCAGTATATTTCTTTTTTTTTCCAGATTTATATTTATTTATTTATGCATATGAGAACTGGCCATATGTGTAGGCCATATGTACAGGACAGGGGAATGTGTCAGAAGATTCACCAGAGACAGAGTGGGGAGCAGAACAGGCAGATCTACTGAAATACATTGCTGAGGGGAGCAGCGGGCAAGACAGGAGAGGTCTGTTGCGCCATGAGGGTTGGCTCCCTGGTGGGGAATTGAACTCTTGCTGCAGTAGTTGTGGAAAGCCTCATAATGCTGCGCTTTAGCCCGTTGTGCCACCGAGAGGGCTCCTAAAAGTCATATTTTAGCCTACGTAGGGCTCTCCCTGGAGGTGCAGTAGGCACACTATGAAGCATGAGTTCAATCCCCTGCCAGGGAGGTGACCACATGGTCCGGCTGACATCTCCTGCTGCTCCCCTCAGCAGTGTACTTCATCAACCTGCCTGTTCTGCTCCCCACTCTGTCTCTGGTGAACCCTCTCACCGCCTCTGCACCTATGGCCTGTACCCCAGTTCTGTATGCATAAATAAATACATAAACCTTAAAAAAAAAAAAAAAAGAAATCCACTTTAAACATACAAACATAAAGAAGTTACAGGTAAAAGAATGGGGGAGAAATAACGCAAACACCAATCAAAAGAAAGGCAAAGGAGCTATATTAATATCAGAAAAAGTATATATTAAAATAAGAAAAGTGTTGGAAAAAAGAGGCCAATTCACAGAGAAGGCAAATCTGAATGTATATTTTCCACAACATAGGTTCAAAATTCATGAAGCAAAAACTGATAGTCCTGAAAGGAAAAACAGATAAATCCAGGATTATAACATTATTGTTTGAGACTTTAACGCACTTCTCTCAGCCATCAATAGAACATGAAGGGAAATCAGCAAGGATCTAGGAGATCTAATATGCAATGTCGTACTTAGCTCTTGTCTAGGTAATGACTCGAATTCTAAGGGGAAAAAATTGGCACCTGCAATAGGCGTTCATCTCCAAGCAGGAGATGGTGCAGCTCTGGAACAGAAGACTGCCTTCCACCAAGCAAATACACTGATTACTACTCAGATTTCACAACCTGTCTTCTCAGTTGGTATGAAAAGCACAGGTAAGATCCCTCCTTCAGGTGCTGAGGAATTAAAATCAATTCCGATCTTGAGGCCTACATAGGCCCTACAGGGTAAATTCCACCATCTCAGCAGGCCCTCATCACCAGCCCCTCTGCCTCATACAGTCCTACTCATGAGGATAATTATTGATTCTTGCAATTTCCAGGACCTGGAGTGGTTCAAGGTTTCCAGAGTCCACATCGAATAAGACATCTTTGCTCATCCTGCCCTCTGCTTCTAAATACCTTTCTCTCCCGCCTTTTCTTCAGTATCCCAGCTGCCATCTTTTTCCATCGATCTCCTTGTTTCTAGTATGTGCTTTTGTTTTAGCAGCCACCTCACTTTGTTGAATTAACTTACCTTCAGCCTCTCCCAACTAGATTGGGGCAGAAAATACCTAAAACAGAAAAGACACCACACTCTCCACTGAAAGCCGAACATCTTGAGCCCAAAGCAGCAGCAACAAAGGTTTAACTAAAGAAAAAGTAAATCTGTTCGATTCTTTTTACCTTTTACCTTTGCGAAAGAGGAGCAGCAACTTTCCTGCCCACCTGTGCGGGAGACTATGGAGATGCCTCTCTTTCTACTATTTGAACATGTCTTTTTAAAATGTAAAAAAGAGGGCCCTCCCTGGTAATGCAACAGGTTAGGATGCAGCACTGCAAGCTAGCCACAGCAGCTTCAGTGTAGGCTCAACCCCCTACCCCAGAGGTGATCCAGAAGGCGCAGAGACCTCTCCTGACTCGCCTGGTGCTCCCCTCAGCAGTGTACTTCGTCTATCTGCCTGTCCTGCTCCCCACTCTGTCTCTGGTGAAGCCTCTCACCATCCCTGCACCTCTGACTTGTACCCCAGTTCTGTATGCATAAATAAATACATCTTTTTTTTTTTTAAAGATTTATTTATTTATTTGTGCATACAGAACTGGGGTACAGGCCAGAGGCTCGGGGTGGTAAGAGGCTTCACCAGAGACAGAGTGGGGAGCAGAACAGGCAGATCGACGAAGTACACTGCTGAGGGGAGCAGCGGGCGGGTCAGGAGAGGTCTGCCACACCATGTGGTCACCTCCGGGGCAGGCGGGAATCGAACTCATGCGGAAGCGGCTTTTAGATTCTCAGTGCTGTGCTTTAACCCGCTGCGCCACCAGGGAGGGCCTAAATACATCTTTTTTAAAAATGTAAAAAAGAAAGAAAAGCCAGTTCAAGACAATAGTTCCTATCATTTTCTGTCATGGTATTTGTTCTTCAAGAACAGGTAATGGAGGAGGAAAAAGAAATAACAAAAAGTTTCTAAAATAACAATAATGACCTTGAATTCATTTGCACTTAGTATAACGGTATCTACATACATACATTCTCAAAAAGGCAGTCCACCCCTGGGTAACAGTTTATACTATTCCAACAGAGTGGACCTGGAGACCTTCCACAACAATGGAATGAAAATCACTGATTCAAGGAGTTCATTTAAATTAACCCATTGATCCAGATAAGTACCCTGGTATTTGAGGTTAGTAGGATCAGGGGAGATAACAAAATTCTACTAGTGCACCCTTTCTTAATTGGCTGTCCTTTTGATTACAATTTTTATCTAACTGGTAAGAGAAATTAGTGTGTGAAGAAAGCAAGCAGTATCTGTCTTGAACACCACAAATCCAAAATCACTATAGCAGACAATTTCCATTAAATCACTGTGTATCCTATAAGTGTCTGTCTTGAAACACTAGTGTTAAGCCCCTCTTGTAGGGACATAATGCAGCTTTCTAACAGGCTTTCATCCTAAAATCTAAGATCCTGCAGCAGATAGATAATAAAGTTACCAAACTCCTAAAATTTCTTCATGAAAATTCAATTATGAATGTACCATTTGCAATTTTTAATGGGGGGGGGCGGGATATAGATCTTCCAAAGTTCAATTACAAAGGATATTTTACAAGTTGAATGTTAATACTTTTGTGCTGGATTAAAAACTTTCTTAATACTTGATGACTGGAGGGAGGGGAGGAAATGCTGCTGAGAAATATAGCGTGCCTTCAACTGTGATGGAAATACAGATGACCTTTTTTCAATATTTTCCTGAGTTTAAATTTTCCAGTGAGTATGCATTCATTTTTTTAAATACACATATTTACTATGCTTACTTTTTAAAAAATCAAATAATGAAAATTCTGTGACTCTTTATGTTTGTTTGTTTTTTTACCTAGATACCAGAAAACTCAAGGTCAGATTCAGCTCCCAATCACAGTGACTAGATACTCTCATCTTTCACTGGTATATGATAGCTTGTTTTTCCCAAAACTTTGCTTTCTATTTCAACAACCCTACTGCAAATATCTTTCATTATAAAATACCGCATTTACTCTTTTGAAAGAAATAATGTAATAAATACATAATTTCCTCATACAGTAATTATAGTACCACATAACTATTAACTGTGTGTGAGTCATTCTTTATATTATCTTTTCCACAGTTAACACATAACTAAAATTCTTCACAAATCACAGATCCAAGAAAATTCATATAACAGAGCTGTAATATTCACCTGTGAGGAAATGAGGAAACATCACACTTCCATAAGCTGCCTCATCTGAAGTGGTCAGGTACTGGGAAGAAATTGAAGTCTCTGCTTCAAGGCCTAATTCCACATACCTGTTTTGGTCATTTAATCTCTGCAACAAAGAAGAAGATGCAAGTTATTGAAATATATATATA